ATTATTTTTTGACAAAATAAAGATCTGGAGTAATGTAGTAAGAGGAAGAAGAGTTGAAGGAAGAGGAAAAGTGGCAGGAGGAAGTTTAACCCCATACGTAGGGCATTAAATGTGTGGTAGGTGGCATGTCAGACATGTCAGCCGTTTCATTCCATTCTCACAAGGATCCCATGGAGTAGTAGCATCTCCATTTTATGATGGGAAAAATAAAGCCCAGAGAGGGACGCTGGAGCGTAGTATCTAATACAAACAGCTCTTTGAGCTAGTATTCAGCCCAGCCCTAAATGACTCCAAGATTCAGAGCCTTCATACCATTCCCTGAAGCCTCTTTAAAAAAAGAGTATTATTTGAATTTGGGCAATTAAAAAAAAAGGCCTTTAGTTTTTTGCCCATAAAAGTTATCATCTAGTCAATCAAGGGATCCCAAAACTCTACTTTGATATAAGGTTAAAGAGTTTCTACTGGGTATCTTCTTTCTGCTCCATTAAATGACTGTGTAAAAAATTATCTCCCTAACATCAGGGTTGTTGGCAATAGTGAAGGAAGAGAATGGATGAACTGAGAAGAATAGAATGGGTTACCTCTCTGTAGAGCCAGAAGTCTGGCACAGGGAGAGTATTTCTCGCTCCCTCTCTGTCTCTCTGTCTCTCTGTCTCTCTCTGTCTCTGTCTCTGTCTCTCTCTCTCTCACACACACACACACAAACATATATATATATAAACATATAATGCATATTATTCAGAGAAGAGGTGTTCAAATTAATGTCACAGGATAGAAAGGGCACCAAATCTAACAAAAAGATAGTTCCTAGAGGAAATTAATTTTGACTCAAATTCAAAAAAATGAATGTATTCACAGTGAGAGTTGGAACGGGGAGGGAGCAGAGAGAAAATTCTTAATAAAAATTGGGAACATTAGGAAAGAGATGATCCTGGTGTAATAAAGCTGTGATACATACATCAGTATCACTGAGTGGGGCAGGATATGGTTGCAGAAGAATGCAGATGAAAGTAGCACATTATGATATACAGATTATTCAATAATGGATGAATTCAGCAAGGAGTATATAATACTGAAATAATCTTATTAGACATCCGGACAGGAACATTAGACATAAAAACCACTAACAGGCTTTGCTTCGTATCTTTTACTAAATAAATGAGATGCCCGGGGAGGTGCAACAACTGTTCCATCCCTAACAAGGGAATGGTAGAGCCTTGCTGGCAAAGCCTCTAGTCCAGTGTTAGTTTTACAGTATAGCAAAATCCTAGGAAAAGTCCCCATCTGTTCACCTTCCCGTCTGTGGCCATGGAGCCAACTGGCAGTTAATGCTTCTTCGTGTTACTAACAACTCCCTAGGCCACAACGGGCACACCCAGAGCAGTGACTCAGGGAGGGACCAAGAGCCGAACCCAGGAGAGGCAGGACAGGACACCTCAGGAATGACTCTGCCCTAATTCCCACTAGACTTTTGCTTATGTGTGTTCTTGATTCCATATTTCACAAGAGTAAGATTCACATCTCACAGAAGAAGCTAAGAGAATTGGGAAACAGACACAATAGCATTCCAGTTAAACATTTACATATTCAAGACCATCAGAAGGTATACCTTTATGGTTATCTACCAGCGAGTGGCTAAAAGCAACAGGACTTTAATGATAGATGACTTTTTAAAGTAATTAGAAAGGATACTTTCATAAGAGGTGCTCACAGTAATTGGGTATACATGCATATTTCATCCTGGGAACACCTCTTGAGACAAATGATTACCTGGGAAAAGTCTTGCTAAAGACTATCAAACTTTACAAAGTCAACCCAAATGTAATTATGTCAACCACATAATGCAAAGTAGAAAGGGATTAGAAAAAGTGCCAGTGAATGAACATATTGCCCTTTTAGTGCACAAGATATTACCTGCGATTGGATTTTCTCAAAGGAAAATTCTCTAATAACAAAACAAGCAAACATAAAAAAGTTAAAAAAAAACCCAACCTCTAAACAACTCCTAAGGGACAAATGGCTAAAATGAAAAGATAAAAACAGTTCTATGGATTTTGAAATATGATAAAGATTATATTCTACTTATAAAAGCAGAATGATTCAGAGCTTGTATTACTTTAGAACAAAGAGCATATATATTTGTAAAATCCAAAAACAAAATACTCCCCATAAAGATAGATAAAGATAGATAAGATACAGTATCATTTTTATTTCCTTTCTCAAGGGATTGGAAGGTTAACTTAGGGGTTACGTTCAGATTTCAAATGTTTGGGTGTCCAAGAAAAGTGCCTTAGGATTCCTTTCGTTATTTGAAGGTTTTCCTGTATGACATTTATTTTCATAAATACCTTACCTCAATTGCAAACAGAACAACAAAAATGGATTTAAATTCTTCTCCAAGACCACTTCCTGGGTCTTGCTTTGCTGGTGCTGAGCCCTACGTGTCTGGCCTCATCTCTCTTTGGAGTTTCATAATATTGATGACCAAAGGAATCTCCCTGAGAAATTTTGGAGGCAAGAAACTTCATTCTAGCCATTAAAATATAAATTATTCAAACACTTAAAAAAAAATCATTCTCTTTGTAATGCCATGACAGTTCCTTGAGATTACCACTAGAGAGAACTTGTCCTCTGAAAAATAGTTCAAGAACAGAAAGCTGATCCTGACAACTAATAGGCTTCCACTGATTGTGAAGGATTAAAAGAACATGACTTACTGGCTTAGTAGATGATAGACATGAAAATCATGCTTACTTTTTAAAAAAGCAATGTGTTCTGACAAGCTTTCATTTTATAATATTTGCTTTGTTTTAAATTTTTTCAGAGGACCTTGTCCAGTTATGGGCTACACAGTCTAATCTTTTTAAAAGATGGGGTGAATAATTTTTACTTTTCTGGAGTATTGGATCCTTCAAAACTCTTTAAATGACATGGTAACATATGAAGATTATTTCTCAAATACCTGGAAAATAAACATTTCATGAATATAAAGTCCATTGACCTCAATATTTATTGTATCTAGGTAGAAGCTAACACTTTCTCTAAAGCTTTGGGGGAAAAAAAAAACTTAAGTTCTCTCTTATGATTTATATTCAATTGCAATATACTTATTTTAGAAGGGTCAAATAATTATCTTTCTTTGGATTAGGTTTGGATATGTACATTCAAATCAAATAAAGGTAAACTTTTCTTTCTTATTTTTGCCAATTTGATTTTGTGGTAAGGAATCAGAACATTACATTATTGTTTTATAGTGTGGACATTCAGTTCCTCAGCTTGCTAATTTCAGTGGGAGTTCCCAACAGACAATGACCAGGCAGAGGACATTACTTTTGGAGGTTCACTAAATAAATGGCTGCTACATTAGAAAGAAAAATACATCAGTCATGACCGCTATTGAGCTTCTGGTGAGTGCTAGCCCAACAACTCACGGTATCTCCTGGATTTTATTCTGTTTCACAGAAATACAATGCCCCAAAGGAACCTAGCAGTCTTGTAGGCGGATGAATTCATAAATACTAAGTTTATAATAATAATAATATTAATCCTCATTGATGTAATTTTCAATTTTCAGTTAATATTGTGGATCAAAAATCATACTGTTTCCCCAAACACAAACAAGCAAATGTTAGTACTTAACATTTGTTATTTTATCTTTACAAAGACTTATATACATTCTTGCCTTTTGCCCTGTTGTTCTAAAAATTACAATTGTATAATGTGTTCACAGAACATAGATATTACAGTTTAAAAAATACACATGGTTCAATTAAGAAAACTGAACTGATAGTTCATTCAATAAATTTTGGACACCTACTGTGTGCCTGATTCTATAGCTAATTTTTAACAAATGGAATAGATTAGTGCTGTCTTTAATATAATCCTGCTGAAGGAGTTGATGCAACTAACATATCAGGTTATTTGAGCTCAAAAGGTCTGGGGAAAAAAAAAATCCTTACTTTTTACAAAGCCTACATTTGACATTAGCTTCAGAACATTATGTCTCCCTAACATGATCGCAAATCTTTTAGTTGCCTGTCTTGAAAACTACCAACCACATCACTGTGGATTTCAAGGGTCTTATATTTCTGTACTTTATAAAAGTATGCTTTTCAAGTATTTCTGTGTCTTGCTGACATGAAAGAAAGCAATGTCATGTATGTGTGTATCCTAAGGTCACTTTTAGATCTAAATTTCTATATTGTATAGTATCTGTCACTAAGAAATAGACACATTACAGTTAAACATCATTTTTGTCCATTCATTTTAAAGTCTAGGTTCAGCTAAATTAAATGACCTAGGAAATTTTCCTGTAACCTCTGAAGAGCCTGTCATGGTGTTGAGTACATAGAAAGCTCTCAATAACTTGTATTTTATTGACTAAAAGAAAATTTCTACAGTTTTATCTGAGTTCTAAAATAAAATATCTGAGATTTATAAGCCAATTTAAGTAGCTAAAAAAGGAGCACAGAAGCCGTAAAATGCTAAGTACCTCAGGACCTTACTTCAGAATTTTACATTATCATGCCTGATCTTATACTGTTTCCACACAACTCAGGAAATGAGTAAGTAAATCTATGGCTTATTAAATAAGAGAAATTATATCCAGAGCAAAAATTAGGGCTTGCTCCTGTTGAGAACAAAGAAAATTTCCCCATATTTACCAACACATTTCCTTTCAGAGATTAAAGAAAATAAAGTGTTTTAGATTGTGAATGTGTCAAACGATCTCATTCATAGTCCACATCTTAGCTTTCATTGGCAAAAGCTCTCTTGGGTGTATGTACACTATGAAGAGAAGGAAATCTTCACTTTAACAGGGACCTGACAGCACTCTCCCAGGAATACACAAGGACAGCCTTCCTTCTTGGTATCCATGTAATAAACTTCCTGAAAATCATAGGCATGGTCCACAGATATATTATTTTACCATATGTGTCTCATACCACTCTAGTGCTTATCCACGTTGGAAATTTTTCATATAGAAATAGAAATATTACCTTTCTTGCTTCTTTGATCATCTTCCGAATAGTTTCCTTAATTGTGAGTAGTTGTGCTCTTGGTGGATGAAAGAGGAGATCTATATGGGTGCCCCCTAAGAGTCCGGGCATCACATATGGCCAGCCTAAGTCAAGATTTGGAGCTTCCACATCAGATTCAATGGGCCAATAAGTCCCTGAAGATGAGGTATCATCATAGCAATTATCAATGCCATGTGCTACACTGTGCACAACTTTCTGAACATTTTTCAAAATATAGTTGATTTCTTCCTCAGCTAGAAAGTCTGATACACGTTCCTTGGCAAGAAATTCTTGGTACGCTTCTAAGCCATGTTCAATCAGCATATCAATAGCTACTCGATACCATTCCTTGTAGTGAGGCTCTATGTAATTGTCGGATTTACACTCCTCATTCAGTGAGGACAGCATTGATGAGGTTTCCATGCTTGCAAGCGTTTGATAAGAGCACTCTCAAATGTCCATTCGCACACTGATTCGTATCTGTGTGATTGAAAAGAAGGAAATCATCAGAATTCTGTAATCAAATGTTTTACAACCCACTCAATGTCATTTTTACATTTACTCATTTCTACTACCAGTAGCTCACTATGACATACATTTCATATCCAAAGTGGTATTAACTACACCATAATTCATATACCTGTCACAAAGAAGCTAAACAGTTCCTTTTACAGAGAGCTAGTGGTTTTCCTTTTCCAAGGTACCTCTACTTTCAAATTCTCACCTAAATTAGTACACCTTCCACCTCTGACATCCAAAAAAATCTATCCTTCCTAACTTTAATCTGGAACTATACATGGTGGTATCAGTTTCTATAGTCCTTTATAGAATTAGAATACAATCAGTACTTGGCCAGCCATTAATTAATACAGGTGCTTGTTATGCATATAATCAGACACTAAGGAAATACGGAAAACATAAAACACCTGCCTTCTAGGAATTTCTTAATTAGTTGAAGAGTCAAAATGTACACACAAAACTGCTTGTTAACACGTTGAACAAAACCACACATTGCTAAGGGCCAAATGAGCATGTAGTCAATGTTCTCCAATAAAAGAAAGTAGAGATCAATATGGAATAAATAAATTATGGCTGGCTGGGTGCGAGAGGAGGCCTTCAGCTGAACTTGGGGTGAAGAGTAAGAATATGATCAGGTGACAAGAACGCGTATTTTCACCCTACACCAGAGTGAAAAACACAAGGAAAAGCACAAAACAAGTAGGAGCTTGGTACCTTCAGGCATTAGTGAAAAAGACTTGGTCTGCTGGAAAACAGGTTCCTTTTACTAAGAGTGGGAGATAGAGCTGAATAGACACGATACAGCCAGAGGTGGAAGGATGCAGATTTCTGTGATTTAGCATAACTTGTGCTTTAAACAGTTGGTCTGGCAGTGTCAGGGGAAGAGAGGAGAGGCACGTGGGTAGGAGAGTCTGTCAGAGTTGAACAACCAATGAAAAAGGGACAAGAATATTCAAGAGATGGACGGAAGTAAGAACAGCTGAGAATTGATGATGTGACAGTGTTTATGTGATGCTGAAACTTAAGACATCAAATATAATTCAGGGATTTGCCTTAGGAATCAAAACCTGCCTCTCTAAGCTCACACCTCATCCTTCATAATGCCCACAAAATGTTACTCATTCATTCACTGTGTGAGACTGCGGACTGGACTTTATTTTCATCAAATAAAGTAATTTCCAGTTCCTGGAAGCCATGATCGCCACTGTATGGATTCAAAGTACAACTTGAGGATGTGCTACAAGAACTAAAGGGCTAATCTGAGCAGAAACATCTTTGTCAGTGGACCTGCTCTAATTTTAAGTATCCTACTTAACTTAGCCTTTTCCAACTCAGGTTTACCAACATTCAAATCTGGTTCGGGAGGGTAACCCAGGAAGCCATTATCATTTATTAACTTTCTTAGCTCAAAATATGTAACAAGAGTCACTAATCATGGAGGGAAGTTGGGAAGGAATGGGCAATAGAGCCAGAAGTGTTGCTGGGGGCAGGGGGTGGGCTGGGGAGGTGGAGGGCAGGCAGGGAGCAGAAAAGGTCCAGGCATATAAAAAGAGCTGAGGAACAAGGGAGGTAAAAGGTCCAGTTTACTATTTCAGTGGGGACAATCCTGTCCCCATCCCTAGGCTCAGCATTTGTACCAAGAAAGATTCAAAGTATAGAAAGCCTAATGATTAAATCTTATGTGAAGACCAAAAGCAGAACATGTTCATGCCACTGGCATGAAGAGTGGAGAGGCCAGCGATGTGGCTAAACATAGTTCACGGGATAGGACAGCCCCCCCATATTAATGAAGTACCTGACCCAAAATGTAAACAGTGCCAAGGTTGAGAAATCTTCAAGCTGCTCAATTCACAGGCATGACGTCAAACTACTAATGCATGACCTCTTCAGTACTCATTTAAGTTTTCTTTTGCACAAAATAATCATTTGTAACAAAGAGAAAAGATATTTGCTTGACAGAATCAATGCGTTTGATGAAAATAGAGTTCCCTAAGGCTTAGAGAAGTGTAGTGTTCGTTTTTATCTGATAATTCAAGGGACAGGCACCAGTGATCACATGAAAATCACATTTATTATTTGTGATTGTTAAAAACAGTAGGGAACTGCTGCTTGTTCAAGAAAATCTCAAGTTTTCGTGTTTGTTCCTTACCTTTTAAAATTTAACTTTTGAATTCCTATAACATGATATTAAGCACCTATTACCTACTTGGAAATTAAAATGCGTAAGGTGTCTCAAACAACTGTATTCATTTCTGAGCTTGATCTAGGCAAACATACACTGTAGCTGTAAGCAATTCATTCTCAAACTATGGGCAAACTGAGACATCACTGAGATCAAAGGCCTATGAAAGCCAAACCAAACCAAAAGGACACAGATGAAAAGTAAATTGAAAAGGAACAAACAATTGGGAGAAAAAAGTGAAACATTATAAGACTAATCAAATGGCAATGCCAGATACAGTGCAGAAAACAGGCCTCAGAAAAAATGCAACAGCTGTGAGCGCAGAGGTTGAGATATTATGCACAAGAACCAAGATATAAATAAATACACTTGGTGTTGCGTTGATGGAGATGCCATATTCTAACCCCTGTCTAGAGCTAGGCATTTATCCCAAGAGCTATTTAGAGGGGATACTTGTGAAGGAACCAACTCGAAACAAATTTTAAGGGAGAAGAGCAAAGGAATGACACTTGGAAAAATGGACACTGTGGTGAAATAGCACCTGTATACAGTTACAGACTTAATACGGCACTCTGAAGAGTTCAGCCACTGAACATTTGGTGGGATTAATTTGAAGACAAATTAATTGGCTATGCCAATTGATGGTTTTATGAATAACCATTAAAAACTTCTCAAAAGTAACATATATGGTATAATTAATGAGTAGAGGAAAATAAAATCTCGCAATGACGTAAAAGCTGAGCAGACCACTAGACTCATGTACTCATTAAATGACTCACTCCAGGAAAACACCTCATGAAACACGGAATCCAAACCCGTACCTCGAAAATCACTACAAATTGCATTTGACATTGAAACTTTTCAGGTCATTTGTGGAAAATAAAAATTCCAAACATGAAATGGATGAATACAAAGGATATAAAACAAGGTATAAAAACTTAGATTTCAATTCATGGGCTTCCCTGGAAAACATTTTGGCGGTTTCATTTATAAAACTAAATATGCAAATGGCATGATGTAGCAATTGCACCCATGATTTATCTCAGAGAACTAAAAATTTATCTTCACAAAAAAAACTTGTGCATGGATGTTCACTGCAGCTTTATTTGTAAAGGCCTCAAACTGGAAACAACTCAAAACATCCTTCAATAAGTGAATATTATACAGACTGTGGTATGTTTGTTACTAAGGATCTCTTCTCAGCGATAAAAGGAACTAACGATTGATACATGCAAACAACCTGGATGAATCTCCAGGGAAATATGCTCAGTGAAAAAACTAACACCCACCGATTACATGCTGCATGATTCCATTTATACAATATTCATTAAATAACAAAATTATAGAAATGGAGACCACATTAATGGTTATCAGAGGATTGGGAAGGGGTGTGGAAGGAGGAAGGTGAATATGGCTATATAAGGGCAAAAAGGATTTTTGTGGAAATATTCTGATTTTGACCACTTCCATGTCAATGTGCTGGTTATGATATAATATTACAGTTTTCTAAGATGTTACAGCTGGGGGAAAACTAAGTAAAGGATACAAGGAATCCTCTTTTTTATTTCTGCCAATGGCCTGTAAATAAACAATAATCTCAAATCATAAAGTTTAAATGAAAAATAGTACTGATGAGCAATTTCATGTGCCTTGAATATAAAACAAGAACAGAACACTGTATAACACACTGGGTGAGAGCTTGTGTGTACAGTCAGACCGCCACGTTCCAAACATGCTTCCCCAGTTATGCGAAGCTCCCGAGCAAGTTACCTGTGCCCACAAGCCTCTGCCTGATCATGTGTAGAAACAAGGTTAACAGCAGTCTTCACTTCACTGAGTCGTTTTAAGAAATAAATAAGACAATGAACTTAAAGTATTTATCTTTTAATATTATTATTACTACTTTACATTTTAACAAGCTCTTACAGTGTAATTGCTTATAAAGATATGAAAAAGTTTGCTCACAAGATGTTTTTTAAGATTCAGAAAAAGGTAATGTTTTCTATCAGACCACTGGGAATGTCATTCACTTTTCATCAACTTCAGCAATAAACAAACAGCAGAACCTCACATCCATTTGTTTATGGCTTCTGACCAGAGAAGATTCATTGCAAAGACTCCTGAAATAATAGGTCAACGGAAAAATGTTCCAAAAAGAAATTAAAACTTTCTTAAATCACAAATAGTCCGAGGTTATAATTACTTAATGTGCAAGAAGGTGACTCAGAGTCAAGACTCTGAAAGAAATACAAAAAAGATAAAAGTTGTTAATATCTGAGATCCTTTTCCCAAATTCTGTCTGAGGCAGTTTCAAATATTGTTTTGGGCTGAATTGTGTCTTCCAAAAGGTATGCTCAAACATAAACCCTCAGTACCAGTGAATGGGATCTTACTTGCAAACAGGGTCTTCTACACAGATGTGATCAAGTTAAGATGAGGTCCAGTTCAATTAGGGTGGGACCTACTCCAATATAACTCGTGTCCTTGTAAGGAGCGAGCTGTCCCAGACAAATACACAGGGACAACTCCAAATGACTACAGCAGCAGACTGGAACGCTATGACTGCTGGCACGTCAGAGCTAAAAGAAAGGCACGTCACAGATTCTTTATTAGCGCCTTCAAGGGAACGCAGTCCTGGCAACACCTTGATTTCAGGCTACTAGCCTCTAGAATTCTGAGAGAATAAATTCTGTTGTGTTAAGCCAAAATTTGTGGTATTTTGTTATAGCCGCACTAGGAAGCTAATACAAATATATATATATATATATATAAATTATCT